GCCTCAACCCCCTCCCTGGGCAGCCCATTCCAATGCCTGAGAACCCTTTCAGTGAAAAAATTTTTCCTAATATCCAGCCTGAACCTCCCCTGGGGCAACTTGAGGCCATTTCCTCTTGTCCTGTCGCCTGTGACTTGAGAAAAGAGACCGACCCCCACCTCTCTACACCCTCCTTTCAGGGAGTTGGAGAGAGCAATAAGGTCTCCCCTCAGCCTCCTCTTCTCCAGGCTGAATAACCCCAGTTCCCTCAGCCTCTCCTCATAAGACTTATTCTCCAGACCCCTCACCATCTTTGTCACCCCCTCCGACCTCTGGATGGGGGGGTTGGTACCTGCTGCCCCCACCCCTCCATCCCCCCCTCAACTCCTGTGCCACCAGCACACAGCGAGGTGGCCCAAAAAACTCCTGGTACCTTGGTGGGGACTGTGCGGCCGTATCCTGCCTCTGGGAGTGTGGGGAGGGTTGGCTGGGCATGGTCTGCCAGGTTTGTAATTGCCCTTTCTGCCGAAAAATCAAGCAAATCCCCGCCATCCTGTGCTTTTTGGTGTCATTTGGCAAGGCTCGGCGCCAAGTCGTGCTGCTTGAAGCAGCTTTCTGCCACACAGGAGAACGGTGGTGGGCAGAAAATGGGCTTGGTGCATGTGAAGAGCCATTTGGGATGAGAACAGCCCCCCTGGCTCAGTGACAGCCCCGTACAACCAGTATCTCACCAGTGTGTGTGTGTGTGTGTGTGTGTGTGTGTGTGTGTGTGTGTGTGTGTGTGTGTGTGTGTGTGTGTGTGTGTGTGTGTGTGTCAGAGAGAAAAGCCGATGGAGTAAAGGAGGACACACTAATACAACCTATATATGATATAAGTGGTCTGTTCTCTGTGCTCTTTACATGTAAAACGTGGTTGATGAGACGCCTCGCCTGTGTGGTGACACCCATTCCTGTACACTCCTCCACACACACCCCTTGCACACGTGGTGGTCACATCTCAGCAGCTTTGAGCAGCCCACCTGAATGGTTTCCTTTGTGGCACCAGAGTCACTTCAGCTCAAGCTCTTCCTCTTTTCCCTCTAAACCTGCCCCACACAGGGCAAATCCAGTGCTCCCAGTGGGGCACAGCACCCCAGCACTGCCTCTGCACCCAAGGCCATCACCCAAGTTGCATCAACATTATCATCTCCAGCTCCTCCTGGCCTTGGTGACAACGTTCAGCCCTGTCACCCTTTGCCATGGGCCAGGAGGTCCCATCTGTGGGGCCTCAGGGTGTGCTCTAACCCCACCGTGGGGCAGAGACCCCCACAAACCCCCCAGCACCCTGCAGGAATTGCTGCAGGTTTGTGGGGCTGGGAATTTGGACCCAGTCGTCCCGGGGATGGCTGTGTGAAGCTGAGCGGGGAATCTGTCCCAAAAAATTTACATGGGAAATGAAGTCTCCTTTTCTGTTTGGCTAAATGTCTGCCAGCCTGTTTTAATTTACCCAGCTAGGTTGATTTGCAACTTTCAATTTTCCATCGGTTGGCTGTGACCAGGACACTGGGAAAATTTAGCACTTGAGTTCACCCAACTTCTGCATTTCAAAATATCCCAGCCCGAGACACGCAGGAGAAAACCCTTTCCGTTTTGGAACAACCGGGAGGGAAAAGTCTGAACACGAGAGGTTTTAAAAGCATCAAAATATTTCACATTGAAAACGCCAGAGCTGCCCGGGTCCATGTGAGCCCCTGTGTCCCCCCCCCTCCTCCCTCCTGCCTGCCCTGGGGTTTGGCAGGAGGTTGTACCCCAGGAGACCCCATCCCCAGGTGACCCTGCACCCCGTCCTGCCTCAGGAGAACCCCAGGACTGGGGAGCACTGGGGAGGGGGGAGCAAAAGCAGGAGGATGGGGGGAGGTTGTCCCCGAGGTAAGCAGCCGGCGAGACGCATTCGGTCTCCGCTTCACCAAAAGTTCATCAAAGCCAAAGGATTTTTTTTTTTTTTTTTTTTTTTTTGAAAAAGTTGAGATGATTGAGGGTTTGACCCTGCACCCCGTCCTGCCTCAGGAGAACCCCAGGACTGGGGAGCACTGGGGAGGGGGGAGCAAAAGCAGGAGGATGGGGGGAGGTTGTCCCCGAGGTAAGCAGCCGGCGAGACGCATTCGGTCTCCGCTTCACCAAAAGTTCATCAAAGCCAAAGGATTTTTTTTTTTTTTTTTTTTTTTATGAAACAGTTGAGATGACTCAGCGGTTTCTGACGCAA